TTTCGGAAATGCACGCTTCAAACAAAACGGTCAGTGAAGACAAAGAAGAGAATGACATGTTCTCCCGGCGCCTATTTGTACTATAATCGCACTGGTAGTGATGTCATGGGCTGTCGCCGGCCAATCTGTTGTTGGTGTTTTTTCAATGTATGCTTCAGACACGGGTCACGATGAGGCATTCCCCATAGCGACCCCTAGAGGACGCAGTTCGAAGTTCCCTTGAAAGGGAACTGCTTCTTGGAAGTTAGACAAGTTACTCTGTAAGATTTGAAATTAAATTTGTAATTTGTCTTTCTTCCATTGTCTTTCTGCTCTTCTACACTTTTTCCTTAAAATTTTTATGTTGCTATGAAACCATGGTTGATTATTTGGTTTCAGTTTTTTGGTTTTGTGAAGGGCAACTACATTTAAAATTTCTGAACATGAAGAGTTAAAAACGATTTACCAGCTCTTCAACATTTTGATCCTGCGATGATATCACATCACTGTGAGCTGGGAGGGCCAAAAAAGCATCCATAAACTGCAAAGCAGTGGAGGGGTTAATAGACCGTGAATGGTAGGTAGAAGGCTGGTTTACAGGGCTAGGACAGGAAATCACACTGTCAAACAAAACCGGCCAGTGATCAGACAGCCCAGCATCACTTACAGATATAATACTAATGGCAAAGCCTGATGATAAAACTAGATCAAGCGTGTGTCCCAGTTTGTGTGTTGGACCTGATATGTGTTGCGTGAGGTTAAAAGAGTCTAGGACTTGAACGAAATCTCTTACAAGAGGTTTCGAAGGACAACAAAGATGTATATTAAAATCACCAAGAATCAACAACTTGTCAGTACCACATAGGATAGAACATCTGAAAACTCCTTTAAAAAATCATTGTTAACTTTTGGTGGTCTATAAATCAAAACACAAAGCAATGGGCTAGTAAATTCTACTTTGCACATTAAAACCTCAAAACTAGTGCAGTCCTTAAAAATGACAGCAACACCCCCACCCCAACTAGAAGTTCTAGGGCTATAATACTATTTACTATACTAAATAGTAATACTAATACTATTAAACTATAATAATTACATTGTACATTCATTAGACGAATATTCAAAATTCTAATTGTAATTTTATAGCCCTACCACACATGCAGATCAGTGCAGAAAAAAGATTCCATAACATTATTTTACAGTAGCTAATGATCTCATTATAATATGACAGACTTGCCCTGCACATATTGCAGTTCACTGTATCTTCCTTTTCGAAGTGATTCCAATAATATTTCAAGCAATTAAAAACCATCATGGTGAACAGTGCGCATCGGAAGTGTCTCTGCAGGAAATAATGCATTATTTATCGGTGTGACGAGTGGGGCTGGGATTAATGATTAGTGGAGTAATGATAATGAGCGACACCTGCGCCACTCACCGGTCTCGAGTCCCACGGAGGAGCTCCAGAAGGATAAAAGGAGGCGTGGGCTAGTAAATTCTACTTTGCACATTAAAACCTCAAAACTAGTGCAGTCCTTAAAAATGACAGCAACACCCCCACCCCAACTAGAAGTTCTAGGGCTATAATACTATTTACTATACTAAATAGTAATACTAATACTATTAAACTATAATAATTACATTGTACATTCATTAGACGAATATTCAAAATTCTAATTGTAATTTTATAGCCCTACCACACATGCAGATCAGTGCAGAAAAAAGATTCCATAACATTATTTTACAGTAGCTAATGATCTCATTATAATATGACAGACTTGCCCTGCACATATTGCAGTTCACTGTATTTTCCTTTTCAAAGTGATTCCAACAATATTTCAAGCAATTAAAAACCATCATGGTGAACAGTGCTCATCTGAAATGTCTCTGCAGGAAATAATGCATTATTTATCGG